TATCAAGGCAAAGTAATCAATGAAATCAACAACAGGTGCAACTACTCTAATAGTCAAAGAAAAACCATGGTAACAAACTGAACTAAACACGTGCAAAACCCAACCAATCAGAAACAAGATAACCCACACCAACAAACTACCTCACTATTATTTTTCACTATGCATACTTTTTCATCTTGCTGAGAATTAAATAATTTAAAAACAAATGTTTTAATTAACAGAGAAACAGAAATGGTTTAAATAAAAAAATAAAATATAAGTTAATTGACAAACAAGTATAAACAAACCATAATCATATTTGAAAGTTATATTTGAGCCTTTTGTTTTTCTATCTCTTTCAGTTTTTGAAAATAAGTGGAGTTTATGTAAATCTGAGTAATACATTTTGAAAATAAGGCATACAATTAAGCAATTTGAATGACTGCCATTGTAGTAAAAAAGTTATCTGTAACATTTCAGTTTAAAAACTAACATTTATAAATACTTTGAATGTATTCCAGTTATGGTCACACAAAACAATATGTAAAAAAAAATGTAAGTTAGTTGCCTTAATTTTGAGTTCAATGAAATTTAAAATTTTGAGTAAATACAACAAAGGAGATTGGTTTAATGAACAGAAACTCAAAATGTTATGTTATCTTAACCACATTAATTATCTTCTAAGTTGATTTGGCAAAAGATGAAAAAGTTGTGATAACAAATCATGAAAATATATATTGTTTTACAGTGTAGCTATCTGAAACTTAACTTAATTGCATAAAACCATTAACATCAGAATATTTAAACTGCCATAGATAGCAATAGCACAAGCACACATATTTAACTAACACTGGACTGTAAAACTATCCTATATGTTTAATTTAAATAATGCAACATTTTACCACTAGAACGGCCATGATGGTCATTTTGACCGTTTTGAATTTTATATCTGCAATAACTTTGTTGAAAAACTCTGTTGACCTTTGTCTCTCTCACTGTCAACAGAATATCTAAATAAAATATGTTTAGTTGTTATTATCTTGTTCTGAGTTATGTTGAATGGATATGAAAATGTAGCCTGTTGTGAATATGCGATAATTATGGTAGGCTACTAATAATGTTATTATTTATAAATATATAATTAAACTTGTTTAAATATACAGTTTGGTGGTGTTTTGTTTTTAAAAGATATCCTAATACAATAAATGCATTAATCTCTCAATTGGATATTTATCATTAAAGATATAGGAGTTTGCACTGTGTGTGCTTCAACAAACTCTTCTTGGATTTGATCTTTGTCTGCTTTCTTCTGTTCTTTATTGATTATTTATTCGATTAAAATTAACTTGTTTTAGTAAATTTGATGTAAGGTTTTGGGTCAATGACAAATGTTTTTCTTTTCTTTTTTCTTACAGATGTGACTCATCATTTTAATTGATTAAATCATGACTCATGCAAGCTAAATAAATTATTCGGGTGCATGTACTCATATGCTCTGCATTTGTTGTGCTTCTTTACTGATATACATTGTCTTTGGACTTCCTTGAGTTTATTTTTTTTGTCTGTCTTCCATACTTTTTTTGGCCACCAACTAAATGAAATCTAAAGTAAAGTAAAAAAAAAAAAAAAAAAAAAATCCACAAACCTTCCCTTATAGACCCCCATTTAAAATATCTCAAGATTATAAAACGGCGTATGTTAATGCACATAAATCAGATATTTTCCACTGTTTTCTGTATAGTGATGAGCCACTCTGACCTGAATGACCTGCAGAGAGAAGCAGAGAAGCTCTCAATGATACAAATTGAAAAGCCTTTACCAGCAAATGTTCAAAAAGATCACATTAACTAGTTACAGAACCAGTACGATCAGTAGTGAAAAGGAACGGCATAATTGTTCTTATTACACACTTTTATATGCACATCTACAATGTTCATCTATCACAAAATAAGTGCAATGAGATTGGGTTCAGCTCTGACTTCGCAAAGACTGCAGTGTGAATGTTAATTTTATGATTTCTTTTCACTTTTTATTTGGCCATAGAAGGCCTATATACGGCTATGTAAAAGTGTTGCTCATGATTCAGTAGGCTTATCTTCGTGTGCTATATGTTGCAGGCCCCTGGCCTAGATTCATGTGAAACTGCTTTGGCATTTGCAGACTAACTGCAGTCTTATTCAATAGAAACTTTCAACTGCAAATGTGCTTTTCATGTTACAACACAGTTGTCTAATGCTCTGGATATTAAATGGGTTGATCTAGATATTCAGACAAAGAGCCATCTAAACCCCAGCAGACGTACTGCAGTGCTGTTTCCATTTGAGGTTTAGACAACTGTGAGAACTGAGATACATGAATATATAAAGGTATTGGGAAAACACTGCGCTCAGTTCATGATTAAACAAGCTCCAGTCTAGACAAAGGTGAGAGACTCTGTTTGTCATTGGTTGTGACCAAAGCAGTGGAACATATTTCTGGTTTCGGTTTAGCACTTGAGTTGAGTTTAACCGCATTGTTTAGCCTTTGAATGAAAAACCATTTATATAACAAGTATATGATCATTTAAAAAAAAACTTAAAAACTTGATAAAACTTGCATTATGTTTTTTATTTATTTATTTAACCCTCTGGGGACCAGAAACGCGCGGGCGCGTTTTGCTCGTTTTTTTTCACATAGCAGAAAAATAGACTTAAAGTACTACCATCATTTCTGTTCATATAGAGTTAAGAAATATGAGAAAATAATCTGTTAAATGTCTACTTTTTTTATGTGCCCACATACAATCGAAATAAAATATTGTGCTTTTGTAAAATAAAGAAAATAAACAGGGTGTGCGTTCTGCCTCTCGGTCACCGTGAACTTTTTTTCTGGAGCACGTCTCTAATCTTCAACACAACTCAGCTAAAACTATTCACCCAGCCATAAGCAATATATCTTTTAAATCATTTGAGTTTGTACTTTTAAATGATCCGATTCAAAACTAAAATTATTATTCTCCGTTTATGTCATCTATATAAAAAGAGAGACGTGTCAGCCCGTCTCATTATCGTTCTCTCAGCTGATTATCCCTGGTAATGTGACACGCCCACGGAGAGCACGCGCTATTCAAACGCAAATATGTGAAGCAAAACATTGAGACGCGTTAACGCCCATAAACTCTGAAAACACACATTATTTTTTAGTCAGATTAATCTACTGTCGTCTTGCGCGGCTATATGAGGAACAATCCTGGGACACTTACCACTGGATTTATTTTCACTGCGAGGATGAACAGATTCAGCTGAGAAGTAAGTGTTTTATGCAAGTGCTTTGTTCTAATCGCGATATAGAATAACGTAGTGTCTGTAAACGGAAAAATAGCATACTGTTAAATGTGAATCGTGTGTGTGTGTGTGTGTGAATGAATGAATGAATGAATGAACGCACAGATACGCACTGTTACAGACTAAATAACAGACAACATTTCTCGTTTTGGATAAAGTTTTTACTCTAAAATAGACATCAAATAAGCTTTTTTAGGAGTTTCTGCTCATATGTTAAATATATAGTAGGCCTATGTTTTGTCAATAAACTAATCAACTAAGATGTTATAGTGTTTGTTCAAGCTATATCAAAATAATGAATCCTCAACTTTGAAATATGTATGATCAAACTAAGACATTTATGGAGAAAGACAATTTTCTTTTCAAGATGTTTCCAACTCTAACTTTGAACTGAAATAAAACCATGTCTATATGGTGAAGGGTGTGTGATAGAAGTGTCCAGACGTATGCACCCTGTATTTTCCTTATATAAATCCAAACAATCTAAAAGCCATTCTTTTTTAAATCTCCTCATTCTTTGTGCAAGGCTCCTGTAATGATATGGCCTGATAGCACCTAATAGGGCCATTATGGGAGGGTCTTTGTCTTTCTCAGGTGTGGAATGCCATACATATTAATGAGAGATCAAGCCTCCTGCATAAAGCTTTCTCAAACAAAACACGTCATTAAAAATGTAAAAGACTTTATTGACTTATCTGAATGAGTAGTCAGGATGATTCTCACATAGTTTTGGAGCAAATATTCTAGGCTATGTGATACAATTTTCAAAAGTCTTGTGAAGAAATAATCAATATGTGTTTTGTGGTCTTATTTCAGCAACTTTTATTTTTATTTTTTTCAATAACCACGCATAAACATTATTCTATTAAAAATACAAACATGTACATACATGTTGCTCAGATATCATGGATGCCAAGTTTGTGCTATATAGAGTGAATTTACACCTTTGCCATTAACATGTTTATAAATAACTGAAAAAAGCACAAATGTCAGTGCATGTCAAAACATCCCAAGGGCCCCAAAAACACTCTGGTCCCCAGAGGGTTAATACTCTTTCACATAACAGATATTCACATTATATTCCACAAGACAAAATAAGAATTGGATTTACACCAATGATCCGGTGGACTTTGCAAACTCTTGGTGATTTCAAAAAACAAGATATCAATACACTAATTTAATAATATAGCCTATATAATTTTTTTTTAACTATATAATAAAATATAGTAAATCATTTTAACAATTATACTGAAAATAAAAAAGTTACCAGTATACAAAAACCAATACGTGCAAAAGTGTGCAGTGTTCATTCATGTTACAAGGCTCGAGAACGTGACGCGTTCACCCTGTTTTTGTCATTTTATCTAATATATAATGCAAAATATTAGAGAGAGAGAGAAAAAACCCACCAGATGAATAACTAATCATGAATGTGTCACTGCAATTATCTCTCCGAGAACTTGAAGTACTGAAAACATTTTCTTGTCACTACATTTGAACGATTTTTGTTATTTAAGTAAATATTTCAGTAATATTATAATCATAATAAGTGTAATAATATTCTAAAGATTGGATGAAATCTCACCCAAATGAACATTAACATGTTTGAGTAAACAATTAAGAGCAATAGATTTCCAAAGTACCACTTAGATTTAATGCACACACTGTTTTAAGTTGTAAAAGCAATAACAGCAGAAACTCGCATTTTTAGCTTGTGATGTAGATCAGTCATACGCGTGTGTTCATGACTTCGGCAGGTTCAGAGCTGCATATGTGCTGTTGATTTGGCTAGAGCAAATATTTCTTCGCAGCTTGGAAAAATCCACCTCAGCGTACTGAAAGAGCAATGAGGAAAACAGTAGTTCAGCTGCAGTTGCTGAACCAAAATTAATTTCATAATCTAAACAATAAGTTTGTTGAAATACAGTGAGTCAGCAAGAATTTTCAATAATTATCAAGACAGAAATAAATTTGAGTTCTAAAGATGGTTTGCAATATTTCACCTGTAACTGGTCCTGATGCTCTTCTGTAACTCGCGTCTGCTGTAGATCAGTGTGGAGTTGTGATCGTTCTGCAGACCTTCTGTTTCCAACAACAAAAACCTTTAATAGTCCTAAAAATAAAACAGCAAAATCAGATTCAATATTTACCAAAGGTTGTATTATTCTTTCTTAAAATATAAAGTCATATTTCAGTACACAGTCAAAATAAACAATTCTAAACAAAGAACTTTTACACAATAACTAAAGTGCCACCTGGCAGTGGAGAGAAGAATCATATTGATATTTTTACAAATTACATGTTTATATTTAATTTTCTAAACGAAAGAACAGTCACTCACCGATCAGCACAATGAGCAGAAGCCCGTTCATCAGTCCAGATATGATGATAATAATCTGACATTGTTTCTGATTCTGATCAATAAACTCCACCGCTGTATGATTGTGACACTCAGTTAGTTGAGTTGATTTTGTAAAGAAAGTGTTCATAATAACAGTCTGGAGCACAACTGCAGTTTCAAACATCTGAATATAATATCTAGCTTATAATATATCTGTGTGGAGCAACCAATGAAAATAAATAATTATGTTGTTCATGTGTAAAAAAAATCTGAAGTAGTGAATAAATAAGTAAATCACTGCTCTAATCATCAATATGTTCTGATCAATAGAGGAGTAAATGAACTCACTGTTGAAGTGCAGTCTGGTGCTGTTGCTGAGTTTTGGAGGTGTGCGTGTGTTCATACAGTAATAAACTCCTAATTCATCAGCGGTCACATTATTAATAACCAAACGGTGTTTAAATTGCAGTGAATATTTCTTTCTGAATGTTTTAATAAAGTAATAAGGTGCTGATGTGGTTGACATTGACCGTAGAATCACTGTTGGAGGATCTGGTGTTTTCAGTAAAATCCAATAAACCTCATTTTCATCAAGATCACAGTTTATGGTCACATTTGATCCCAAATCAGTGAGTTGATCTGAGACTGCAGCTCGACAACAGATTAATACATCTATAAGATAAAAATAAAATAGCAATTAAGATCACTGTAAACCTAACGAAACAATGAATGACATTTAATGCCACAATTAATGACATATTACATAAGCACATGTAAATATATTGCTATATAAAACTCACAGAGCTGAAGCTGAATGATCTTCATGTTGTCGAGATTAAAACACTTCAGAATGATTCTACTTCCCTCTACACAACATTAAGATGAATACTGCAGCTCTGAAGAAAACACAGGAAGACAAAAAACCTTCCACATCGAGCGGAGGAAGTCAAAAACTCTGACCACAACATCTGATGTTCCATTATCACTTCTCAAAATTATTTTGTGCTTTAATAACCACTGTTTTCATAAGACCTTCGATATTGTTAATCATATTAAAGTGACATGTTTGTGTTTGATTAAACTGAGTGACCGCAGAGAGACTAAATCTCCTGATTCTAGATCTGGATCTGTTACTGTCACACAAAACTTCAGGGTTGATTCTGTGGAGTGAACAAACTCACAGTTACTGAGCTGGTAGACAAGACCAAACTATGGATCACGTTTCATAAACGATCTCTGTCAACTCAGGGTTTGATCTTGTGTATATGATGAATCTTGAGTGAGTGTGTGCATGAAAGTGTGACATTTACAGTGAACAGGCAATCACATGAAACACAGAGAGACAGTCAGTAACAGCTGCCATCCAGTGGTGAGACCACAAATCTCCCGTGTGGATATTGTGGAGAACTACCACTTACAGCCTCTAGAGGCCAGCAGAAAACCGCAGTATCTACTTTAACGATTTCAATAATAATACTGTCATGTTTAACAAGTTATTTCCAATTTAATTTAAGTAAAACTAATTTAAACTAAATCCATAAAATGATTCCATGATGGTCAGAAAACAAACCAAGTTCCCAAGATTTTTAACAATCAGAATGTCGTGTGTGGTGGGGATCCGTGTATCTTTTGGTCATTTGATTTCCCGTTTGGAATGGAATAACGAGAAATGAAAACCAGCTCGTTTATTCGTTTGTTTTGTTTAGTTTAAAAAACGAAAAATCTAATTTTGGCTCAATTTTTCATTTTTCGTTTGTGGTTTACAAATCGGTTTATGGGTTCGATATTTCATTTGCACACGTGGATAAAGGCAAGTAGTTTATCTAAATAAAGCTGCTTGGTGTAGTTATTTAGTCTCTCCCTAGAGCCCCTTTCCCTTTGCTTCCCCCTTCTTCATTTATTCCCAAGAAACTGCCTTATCGCAAAAATGGAAACAAATATCAAGCTGCTCTCTCTCTCTGTCGCTATTTCTCTCTGTCTCACGGTCGAAGTAACCATGACAACGGATAGTGTATCCTTCCAAGATGGCGACGCCTTCCCACAATGCAACGCGGAGTGAAACGTGTGACGTCACATTCTCATTCTTAATACGAAAAACTTGAATGAAAAACTCTACCATCTGAATGTCTCAACAGAAATCGAGACTCAGCAGACCAGGCAACATTTTTCCAGTCTTCAACTGTCCAATTTTGGTGAGCTCTTGCAAATTGTAGCCTCTTTTTCCTCTTTGTAGAGGAGATGAGTGGTACCTGGGGTCTTCTGCTGTTGTACCCCATCCGCCTCAAGGTTGTGCGTGTTGTGGCTTCACAAATGCTTTGCTGCATACCTCGGTTGTAACGAGTGGTTATTTCAGTCAAAGTTTCTCTTCTATCAGCTTGAATCAGTCGGCCCATTCTCCTCTGACCTATAGCATCAACAAGGCATTTTCGGCCACAGGACTGCCGCATACTGGATGTTTTTCCCTTTTCACACCATTCTTTGTAAACCCTAGAAATGGTGTGCGTGAAAATCCCAGTAACTGAGCAGATTGTGAAATACTCAGACCTACTGTGGCTCACATTACTGGGGTCGCTTGCAAGTCGCAGCAGCATGAGTTACGCGACCAGCATCATATTTCTGCTTCAAATATTGTGCGTAGTTAACAGTGAGTGGTGGTTTCAGACATTATTTTATTAAAGTGCATTTGTCATTGCCGCACTCGTGACTCTTATTCTGCCTGACAGAAAGAAAAGCTCGTACTGAAGGCGGTGCGGTTTGACCAGGGTTCCAGACTGCGACCAAATTGGTCGCATATGCGACCGTTTTTTGAGAATGTGCGAGTTAAAATTGTATGTGGTCGCATTAGTGCGAGTGGACGCTCGCGCAACAGAATGCCGCTGTATCAGCAGCTGCTGCAGTCCGTAACGTAACTTATGTTCAAAATGAACGAGTACATCATGAATCCATTTTCCAAACCGTGTTTTTGACTTATCCTGAATCACTACGGTACGCCTATAATAAGTTGCGGAGTTGCCCAGTGCCTGCGTGACTCGCCATAGACATTAACGGAGAGAAGTAGCTCCGTCTACAATGTTCTTCCGCAAGTCACGTGCAGTTTATTTATTGACGAACGGAGACGTCACGCGCATTGCACACTCATGGTGAAACGCGCCAATTACGAATTTAGGAATTAAGGCATATAAAAATGAAAAGGTCTCACGAAACACCGAGCCCCTTCCTACGTCTTTTCAGCGGTTAGATGAGAGTAATCGATCGAGAGAGGAAAATGATTAGCCTATAAAATGCAGAAGGTAAGGAGTGTGAGATTTCAGATTTTTGTTACAACTATAAACTTTGATAACGAAAATCTGTATCAGCGTATTATAGGCTAATACTCTAATCTTTTAAAATGTAATGCATACATTTGAATGTTTAATGATTTTTAAAAGATAGAAAGATGATGCTGATAGAAAGATGATAATAGACAGACAGATAGATAGATATATTATAATTCAAATGTAAATAGATAGATTGTATACACTCTAAACAATGATGGGTTGTTTAAACTCAAATTTGGGTCAAATATGGACAAACCCAAATGTTGGGTTAATTTAATTTTAACCCAACTTTCACTTTCAACTGTAAAAATGTTTTATTACATTTTTAACCCAACATTTGGGGTTGTCCATATTAGACCCAAATTTGGGTTGAAACAACCCAGCATTTTTTAGTGATAATTCAAATGTTAAATGCTTAAAATTACTGTCCAAAATCCATGAAAATGATAATTATCATATATTACATGTGTTTTTATATAATATATTACAGGTATTTATGCTGCAACCCAGAAAGCCTTTGCTAGCCTTGGTCCATTAAAACCACTATTCATCAGCATGCATTGATTAATCCCATGGCATGTAGCAAAAAAAAAAAGAGGTGCGACCAAATCATATGCTGGTGCGACCAACTGAGAAAGTTGGTAGCACCAGTGCAACCAGTGGAAAAGTTAGTCTGGAGCCCTGGGTTTGACCCATAGATATCCATAATAAAGGCTAGATGTCTTACGGCGGAGTCTCTATCGTCATCACAGGCGGCCATCTTGTCACAGGCAAGCTTTCTGGCGGGCTCTGTGGTACCTGATGTAAGATGAGTGATCAGCACGAACACAAATACTCTTATCTCGTTGAAATCTTGACGGATTTACAAACGGTTTGGTTTCTTACAAACGTTATTAACGTGGCTATAATTCTGGATGATTATTTATTTATACACTTATTATTCAGTATGCAGTGTCATTACTACATCTCTGACGTTTATAACAAACCAAACCGTTTGAAAATCGGTAGAAAATTGAGCAAGTTATGGTTATTTAAAAAGTACATGCACCATTAAAACACAATGTTACGAGTGAGCGAGCTGCCTGTGACAAGATGGCCGCCAGGTGCAGACGTCGACCTCCATTGGCCAGCAGCGCGGACGAGACATCTAGCCTTAATAGAGAGCCTAAATCCCCCCTCTGCTTCCGGCTTATGGGACCTTATTTCGGAAAAAAATATGTAACTTATCTTTTTATTCCGTCTGAACTGTGCCCTGAATTACACATATGATGTTTGTCAATTTAAAAGATAATTCTGAAAGTCAAAAAAGTCGCAGTTTGTCATAAAACAGAAGAGTAACATTTACCGCGTTCCAAATTATTATGCAAATTGGAATTAAGTGTCATAAAAAATTAATATTTTGTCTTTCAATCAAACTCATGGATGGTATTGTGTCTCCTGGCTCTTTGGATCACTGAAATCAATCTCAGACACCTGTGATAATTAGTTTGCCAGGTGAGCCCAATTAAAGGAAAACTACTTAAGAAGGATGTTCCACATTATTAAGCAGGCCACAGGTTTCAAGAAATATGGGAAAGAAAAAGGATCTCTCGGTTGCGGAAAAGCGTCAAATAGTGCAATGCCTTGGACAAGGTATGAAAACATTAGATATTTCACGAAAACTTAAGCGTGATCATCGTACTGTGAAGAGATTTCAGAGCACAGACGGGTTCGTGCAGATAAAGGCATAATGAGGAAGGTTACTGCCAGACAAATTCATTGGATTAAAAGAGAAGCTGCTAAAATGCCATTACAAAGCAGCAAACAGGTATTTGAAGATGCTGGTGCCTCTGGAGTCCCGCGAACCTCAAGGTGTAGGATCCTCCAAAGGCTTGCAGTTGTACATAAACCTACTATTCGGCCACCCCTAACCAATGCTCACAAGCAGAAACGGTTGCAGTGGGCCCAGAAATACATGAAGACTAATTTTCAAACAGTCTTGTTTACTGATGAGTGCAGTGCAACCCTGGATGGTGTAGATGGATGGAGTAGTGGATGGTTGGTGGATGGCCACCATGTCCCAATAAGGCTGCGACGTCAGCAAGGAGGTGGCGGAGTCATGTTTTGGGCCGGAATCATGGGGAGAGAGCTGGTAGGCCCCTTTAGGGTCCCTGAAGGTGTGAAAATGACCTCGGCAAAGTATATAGAGTTTCTGACTTTCTTTTTCTCACTTCCTTCCATGGTACAAAAATAAGAACCATGCCTTCCGTAGCAAAATCATCTTCATTCATGACAATGCACCATCTCATGCTGCAAAGAATACTTCTGTGTCATTGGCTGCTAAGGGCAAAAAAAGAGAGAAACTCATGGTGTGGCCCCCATCCTCCCCTGACCTCAACCCTATTGAGAACCTTTGAAGCATCCTCAAGCAAAAGATCTATGAGGGTGGGAGGCAGTTCGCATCAAAACGGCAGCTCTGGGAGGCTATTCTGACATCCTGCAAAGAAATTCAAGCAGAAACTCACAACTTCAATGGATGCAAGAATTGTGAAGGTGATATCAAAGAAGGGGTCCTATGTTAACATGTAACTTGCCCTGTTAAGATGAGTTTGATTGAAATAGCTTTTGATTTCAGTAAATATGACCTCCTTATGCTGCAAATTCAACAAATGACCATTTTCAGTTCTTTACAACCTATAAAATGTTTTCAAACTCTGTTGTGCATAATAATTTGGAACAGTCCATTTTGAGTTTTTTATTTTTGAAAAATATACTGTTTTCGTTGG